TTTGATTGAAAATCAGTTTTCTCCGATGTAGCTTCTTCACAAAGGATGTGTAGATGAGGCTTTCGAAGTGTTGAAGAACTGGAGGAACTTTGCTCTTGTTGGAAGAAAGAATATGTAAATGAAATCTTTCCAACGTAAGCTTTTCTTGCTAAGAAAGATGAAGTTGTGATCTCAAGAAAGCTTGAAGGTTTGAATGTTGTGAAAGCAAAGGTTGAGCAAAGTTATCATGTAGTTCTTCAAAGTGTATCTTATATACTGGGAGCGGTCTTCCCGTTGGAGTGTAGAAGACGGCTTCATTAAATGCTTGTACTGTTGATTTGACCGGTTGGTCCTTCGACTTTCTATTTTGGGGGCGAAAGGATATCCGCATGGTCAATCATCAGCTTTAATTATTTCTTCGTACGTACCGCATTAATTGAGCATTTAATATGTGTACAGTGCCATGTTCCGTTGAGGAGGCTCCTAGCCGTTAGGGTATTTCCCGTTAGCTTCACGGCCGTTGGAGGTGCCTTCGAATTCTGCCAAGTACCAGCAAGTCTGGTGAGACTTTCTGATTGAGACTCTGATGTCCGCCTCTGATGCCAAATATGGTGCCCAACTCTGGTAGCTTCTCTGATGAGTAGTTCTGATAGCAACTCTGATGAGAAAGTCCAAGAGGGTCTCTGGTCAGTCGACTATGCTAATACTTACAAAGAAAATTCTAAATACAAGATTTCTAAAAAGGGGTACTATAAAATCCTAATAATCCTAGCATCATCAAAATCTAAATACATTTATTCCTTACAAGTTTGTTGCATCATCATTGTGTTCATCTTGCAATATACAAGAATACATAGCATGTGTGGACCGTGGAGTGAGCCCAATACATATCTTTGTCTAGACAGCTTCAAATGCACTCCAATTACGCTCACATGATGATGAACTACATGGTTGACTCTGTATATGAATTGCATATTTCTTTAGTGTTGGCACATAATAATGACAGAACTCCCATCATATTCCTTACAATACAACAATTAATTAACAAAATAATATCAATAGAAATTTAACTACAATCCATTTTTAAAGAAACACCCAATTTACAAAATAAAAATAAAAACTTACGGGGATAACATATCTTCATCAATTTATATGTTGTTGCATTGAATAATGAGGAATGCTTCAAAATATAGTTGCGATATTTCTTAGTAATTCCTTCTCATCCGGTTTGATGAGAAATAACAAGATACCTTCTTTCATCTCCATCGGTTGCTTAAAGCTAGGACTAGTCATGTATAATGGATCGAGAGATGCGGCAAATGCATGAACGGGGTGGATGATATTATCTTTTTTCTTCACCTCATATGCCCATACTTTATATTTATCTCTATCTTTTTCGAACCTTTTCTGAAGTCCCGCCTTAGCCAATTTCATTGCTTGGTACAAATATCCAGCTGTAGATCCATCACCATCAACTAAGCGTAGAACTCTAACTAAACGTTCCATGGCTTGTAAACACTCTCTCGCTTAAGACCAAGGCCCTGTTTGGTTTGAGGGTTTCGGAGGGGAGGGGAGGAAAGTAGGGGATTTGTGTGTTTGGTTGAAGGAAATAGGACGGAAGGGGAGGAAAGTGGAAGGCTTTCAAAATTCTCCACTTCCTCCCATTTTAAACCCACAAACTCGGGGTATTTTGGAGGAAACGTGTTGATAATCACAAACTATCCATCTTCTACGTGAATAAACAAAACGTTATAATATAAAAAAGTAAAAAATAAAAAAATTTGAAAAATTAAAAAATTAAAAAAATTAAAGATTAAAAAATTTAAAAATTAAAAAATTAAAAATTTTTAAAATTAAAAAAATTAAAAACTACGAGTATAAATTAAAATTTTTAAAGTTAAAAATAAAAAAAATTAAAAAAATAAATAATAAAAAATTCCAAACTTAAAAATGAAATATTATAAAATTAAAAAAGTAAAATATCATATATAAAAAATTATGGCTCATGACCATAGGAGTAATATTCACAATAGTTAGACATGTATTTATTTTTTTAAGTAAACTATCAAATAAAAGTTAATTGCGAAAATATTTTCATTAAACTTTTCTTCCTATTTTCTCCAACCAAACACAAACTTTTATCAAAATACTTCCTTCCCCTTCCCTTCCCTCCCCTCCTTTGAACCAAAAGGCCCAAAAGACATTGTTACGCTTGACGCAGGGACATACGGAGTATTTGAATACCTTCTAGCTTGCCGCCGCATGTGCTAACCCGGTACGCTGCTACACTTGCCGCAGGGACCAGACTTGGGGCAACGTACATAGGTTTTTAGCCATTTAGGCTATAGTTGGACTTTTTAAATTAAAATACGTATAAATACCATTTAGACGAGTATTGTTAAAAAAATACTTCAAAAAATCATTATTTCCCTGCATCTAAATATGTGAATCAGAGGCCAATTCAACACGGGTTTTAACCTCCTTCTCATGGCTTTTTGTCCTATGGATATCCACTTTATCAAAGACAAATCATAGTGAAATACCTCACTCATGTGTGCCACCCATGCTTCTAAACTGTTTAATTTCACACACCTTCTCACCCATTAATAGATTAACACGTTTAAGGAGTCATACGCTCCCTCGTTTGACAACGATCTAGAGACATGTACTTGAGAGATCAATATTATTCTTCAAATTGTTGTGCTCTACGCCACGAAAACGATAAGAATTTAATATTGATTACATTGCTCAATTATATAAATTCCATGTGTTTAAACCCTAATTCTTTTTAGTTGATAATAACTTAGCACCTGACGTGGAAATGGTACTTGAGTCTTGAAGCCTATACTATTCACAATTTTTTTAATCAAAAAAATCATATTTTAAATTTAAATTTAAGGCATATAACAATATGAAGATATAAGGCAAGAGGGTGATTCTGTTCTTAATATAAAACATGAGAGAGGAGTGGAGAGGAGCGGCGAAGGGCTTAGTTTCACGGCGACGGCGGTCCTAGCAAGTCTAGATTTTCGGTGGGCGGCGCTATAGCTTTCTTGGCGCTTCAGTGTCACGGAGTTTTGCTAGTTTTCCTCAATTGCAGCACAGGGGAGATGATAGGGATCTGGAGACTGGTTGCGTTTGGACTGGTTGTGCTCGTGCAGTATGTTGGCCAAGAGATGGAGGCGAATCACGGGCAGATCAGGGTGTTGAAGAAAGAAGATGAAGGGATGAAGATCCGCCCCACTCCTGAACCGCCGCCATGCTGGAAATGGGTGATTAGGGGTCGGAACACCGCACAGGAAGATTGGTTTCAGCGGCTCAATAAGTTCATCCTGTTTAAATTCATCGTCCCCATTTTTAGTCTGTTTTCGAAGAAATTAGTTGCTATCATTTTGCTTTTGATATTTGCTTATGGTAATAGGTTTTTTACATTGATCGAGGGTTCGGCTAGATTTGATATTGTTAGTGAGGGATGGATCTATTTTTTCAGTAATAGTTGCATTAAACCCGTCTGGTGGTTAGCGATTCGTATTGCTCCTTTAGGGGTGGTCGTCTCTATGTCTAATCGTAGGACTAAAAGTAGTAGTTGAAAGGTGAAGGTTGTTATCAGCTCTGGTCATTTTGAGATTGTTGTAACGATCCTGATTCTAATGAAAAATTGTTTGTTGGTGGATTCGGTCACTCGACACGTAGAAATTGAATACATTTTTCCACGTGGACCGTCGTGACATGTTTGTGAGATTACCGGAATATCGCTAGTAGTAACGAGAGAGAAGGGAGTGCTAAAGTGTATAGAGAGAAGGCATCTCATAATAAATGAGGTTCAAGCTATTACATTTGTGCCCTAGAGGGAATATAATCCTATTTATACTAAAGTCATTAAATGCATGTTCTTGTATAACGGGTGATAACATGTGAGTAGTGCACTAGGTGATGTTTGGGAGTTTTTTGGAGGGGAGGGAAAGATTAATGGGGGTTTATGACCCTCCTTTTCATGTTTGGGAGTTTAAAAAATTGGAGGGGTGGTTTTGGAGGGCTTTTATAACCCTTCAAAACCCTCCAAATGTTTAATTTTTAAGTTCTCCTAATTTGGAGGATTTTGAAGAATAATTAACAAGATGATAATTTAAGCTAAATTAGAAACGAATATCAGCTCAATGATTTGAATTCGTTCAAATATCCTCTCCTTCCAATTTTATTACTCCCAAATACAAAGGACTTCATCACCCTCCCCTCTCTTTCCCCTCCAATAACATACCTCCAAAGCCTTCCTCTGCCTCACTGTTAGCAAGTGGGAGAAGTGTTTTCTTGTGCGACGCCTTCCCGCAAATTGTGTCAAGAATCATTGGGCGAGTTCTGCCATGAATCAATGCAGCCCTCGAGCAATCGATTGAACCATTCGTAAGCCGGCCCCTCTAAGGTGGAGAGGAACCAACGGCATAAATATTCATCTGATGCCCCCACCATCATCATGCTGTTTTGGTACCCCTAAGGGCTCTCGTCCTTGTTATTGTTGCTTTGCACTATTTAGTTCATTTCTTTATCTTGCGGAGTCCCTAGTTAGGGACAACTGGACAAGGTGCTTGAAGCCGAGGGGCCAGAAGTCCAGAACGAGTTGCCCATCCAACCCATTTCCATAGTCTATCAATTTGACATTCCTTGAATCCTTTCTTTACTTTATTATACATTAATTTTATAATATTTTTAGGTTAGAAATTCTGGATAGTTAGTACTTATTAATAATCATAATAGTATTGCAATTTTATGACACTTCCCAATTATGTGCCAAATATAACTAACCAAAATGGTTTTGCAAATTTTTAAAGATTTTATAGTAGAAGCTGTATTCAAATTCCAGATGATTTTTTACTACTGTGAGAAGCAGTATATTTTCAAAAATGGTTTTATTTCTAAGATTTTAGGCCTTAGAACCCTACTGTGTACTTGTGTTTAACACCAATATAAGCTATTAATAGAGTCTATTTCCCAATTCCCACATAATACACCTAGGATAATAGGATGGAAGAGAGTATTTTTTCTATACCAAATATATTATATATAGAGTAAATAACTAAATAACCAACACATGCACACCACCTTGCTCAAAAATGGAATAATCCAAATAAATAATATTCTACCAATACAACAACAACATTACCCCAATTCTTTAAAAGCTCTGACCAAAGAGATTGTTTAGGGATGACCCGTGAGTACACTGCCCAATTCCCAATACAATTTCATCACCGGTAAAGCATAGTCATTAAAGTACCGCTTTCCATGATATAATTAATAATAAATACTCCCTCCGTCTTGTTGGAATATTCCCGGTTTGACCTACACATATTAAGGAAATAAACTTAACAGAGGTAAATTTTACTGTTTTGACACTGTTTCGACACTGTTTGGCACTGTTTCGACACTGTTTGACACTGTTTTGCACTGTTTGACCCTGTTTTGATGTAGGATAACTTTCCATTTAGGGGAATGAAAACTTTCCAACGGAACATCCACAAAAGGAAAGCGGGAACATTGCAACGGGTAGGAGGGAGTATGTATCCTTTACCGTAGGATACCACTTTAAATTAATAATATCAACCCATCCGGTGCTTTTGCACCTTACCAATTGAAAGATCACCATCTTCATCCAACAGAGCTTCGAAACGCACACCCGCACTAATATCAAGGTTCTTTCTTTTTACAGTATATCCATATGACCGTTGAAAAGACATCAACTGCAACAATATTTTCCATCACATGAAATTAGTAAGTAACTTTCACAAAACCTTACCCCCCTTCCTCATCTAAATACACAATTGTAATTGCTAGTCATTTTACCGAATCATATCGTGACATATACTCTTTAGAGCCCTTTTCATAACCTGCAGCAATCAACACATCCTCTGCAGCCTGAATATGTGATAGAACAACAACAACAACGATAAGCTTCAATGATATGTTGCCAAGTATTAAAGGTGTTCCTAAAGAATCATAAAACTCGCTCACTTTTGTATCTTTCACACTAGAAATGCAATAAATAAAGCTCTCCAACCCGTGATCATCATCCAAACATGCAAGCATTGATCCCATGTCCTAAATCATTAGAGAAGTAATTTTTATTTAGTCTCTGATTAATTGAAAACATCAAGCTGAGAAAAAACAGTAGGAAGGAGAGACTTTCAGTTGTTGTTTGGTTGGGGGAATTCTAGGAGCCAGGCTTTTGCTCGGGTTCAAGACAGAAGTAGGAGGAGGATCAAGCTTTGTAACCCCAGGAGATTCAGCAAGCAAGGTTGAAGAATCCTCTGCCAGTCCAATCGACCGCCTCTTGGCATCTCGATTTTCTAAAGCAGCAATAATAGAACTTCCACTCCTCTTATCGTGTGCAAAGACTTCGTGAGACGCTTCATTCTCCTAATAATTCAATCATAATTTCAAATTTTCACAGTTTCAGCTTCAAGATAAGAGGATAACTACTGGAATTAGTCGTAAGGAACCGTACGGCGTATGTTGAAAAAGAAACTGTAAAATCCCAATTTAAAAAATATACTTCAAGAAATTTAGATTATGATTGGAAAGCATGATAGGGTTAAAACGGGCGAAAAAATTATTAAAAAAACAGAGCACTATAATGTAACAAACTGTTTACAAAATCTGTTAAAGAATGCTACAAAAACATTTAGAAATTCTTTCTTTCAAACAAAATACGATAGTATGAAATAAGATGCAATACAACACCGATCTGATGAAAATAGCCATAGCCATAGCCAATAGGTATTACCTGGTCCATTTCCGATGGAAGGTTTGAGATCCTCGACTGAAAAGGGAAAAAATCACATGAAACATCGATCAAATACATGGAAACAACAAACTAAGGAGAAAAAAATGACATGAAACATCGATGAAATACATGAAAACAACAAACTATGGAGAAGAACAACCTGTGGAGAAGAAATAATAAACATAAATTCAGAGAAGGGGATGCCACAATACCTTCAACAACCGCGACGTTAGGGTTACTGCGTACTCAAACCGTCCACAATCGATACACGCAAACCGATACCTATTCAGGTCTTGTCTGCGCACCCTTTTATTTTTTATTTGTGAGGTCACAGGTAAAAAAAACGTTTATAAAAGGTCTTACAAAAGGGGTAAGGACATGTTTATAAACGGCGTTAGTAAACGATACTTATTAAGACTCGCGTTAATAAACGGCGCATAAAATAAGCAATGTTGTAAGCTCATGTTTACTTCAAATGATTTAAAATACCGTTTAACATTAAGATGTCCAAAATAACCCTGTAGATATATACACACACAAACATTCATGAACACAAGTATATAATATAATATGTGGGGTCACCTCGTACGCTTAGTCACTTACCCACACCCCTAACCCCTACCCGCCCTGTACCCCCACCCCTCACCCTACCCCCAATTCTACACCCTTGACCCCCACCCCTTTCCTACCCCTACCCTTACCATGACCTTACCCTCCACCCCTACTCCCACCCATACCAACCCCCCACCCGACTCGTAAGGGTTGGGTCGAGGTGGGGACAGATGATATGGGCTAAAGGGGGTGGGGGTAAGGTGGGGGTGAGGTATGGTCGGGTCAAGGGTGGGGGTGGAGTCGGGGTCGGGGTTGGGGTTGGGGGTCAGGGGTGGGGTCGATGTAGGGGTAGGTGGTGGGGGTAAAAGGGTAGGGTCGAGGTAAGGGGTACAAGTGGGGGTAGGGGTAGGGTGGGGGTGGGTCGGGTTAAGGTAGAGGAAGGTGGTAGGAGGTAAAGGGGTGAGGGTGGGGTGGGGTGGGGTAGGGCAGGTGGTGGAGGGTAGGGGTAAGGGGCTGGGATGGTATGGTAAGGGTTGGGGGTAGGGGTTAGGGTGGGTTGGGGTAAGGGCTAAGCGTGGGTCAAGGTAGGGGCAGGGGTAGGGTAGGGGTGGGGTCGGGTCAGGTAAAGGTAAGGGAAGGTGGTAGGGGGTAAGGGGTGGGGTGGGGCAGGTGGTGGAGGGTAGTGTCAGGGTAGGGGTAAGGTGGGGGTGGGGTATGGTCGGGTCAAGGGTGGGGGTGGGGTCGGGGTCGGGTTGGGGTCGGGTTAAGGTAAGGTAGGACGGGGTAGTGGGTAGCAATAGGGTAAGGGCAAGGGGTAAAGGTGAGGGTAAATTCGAAAACCGAAAAAGTTTAAAGTGTCGCTTAATTAATACATGAGAGGTGGTATGCTTAGTAAGCGGCACGTTAAGCATCTCTTTCGGTTAGTAAGCAACGTTTTAAGCAACTTGCCTTTTTATTTCATAATTCTTACTAACCTAATTGTGACTTTAGCAGTGAAGATAAGACGATAGCTACTGGAATTAGCCATAAGGAACCGAATGTTGAAAAAGAAACTGTAAAATCCCAATTTAACAAATAACAACTACGGAGTATAATTAAAGAAATTTAGATTATGATTGGAAAGCATGATAGGGTTAAAACGGCCGAAAAAAATATTTAAAAAACAGAGCACTACGATGTAACAAACTGTTTACAAAATCTCTTAAAAAATGCTATAAAAACATTTAGATATTATTGTGTAATCCACATTTTACAATTTAAAGTTCTGACATGTTAGATAAAAAGAGGATTTGACACAAAATTAGTACTCCCTCCGTCCCGTTGCAATGTTCCCGCTTTTCTTTTTTGGATGTCTCGTTGGAAAGTCCCCATTTCCCTAAATGGAAAGTTATCCTACATCAAAACAGGGTCAAACAGTGCAAAACAGTGTCAAACAGTGTCGAAACAGTGCCAAACAGTGTCAAAACAGTGTCAAAACAGTAAAATTTACCCCTGGTAAATTTATTTCTTTAATATGTGTGTAGGTCAAATCGGGAACATTCCAACGGGATGGAGGGAGTAATAGAAAACCAGCTCTAACATGCATGCAGTGATATGATAGTTGACAAGATTAGTAATAGAAATTGCAAGATTATAATTTGAACTTTTTTTCATAAAATCATTGGTATGAGTATTTGGTCCCAGCTTCAATCCCTTAGGTGTGTTAATTTTTGGGAGAATTTGACTTTGCACCACATGTTTTGGATGATATTAGACTTTGCACCCCATTTTAAAAATCATTAATATATGCCTCCATGAGCTGTATTGGGTGCATATATTAATGACTTTGAAATTAGGGTGCGAAGTCAAATATCACTCAAAACATGGGGTGCAGAGTCAAATTCTCACTTAATTTTTTCAAAGAGCTTTTGCCAATTTTGGTCCACCGATTATTGCGTGAGTGACACTTTTGGTACTCCACTTTTATTTTTTCCATTTTAGTCCTATTGTGCTAGAGACACTTTTAGCCCTCGACTAAAAAATTTCTCATATTTAGTTCTCCAAGTATTATCAAATTGACACTTTTATTCTTTTCATTGAGATTTTGATATAAAAGTGGAGGACTAAAAATGTCACTGTTATAATATTATGATAAAAATGTCACTTTTATGAACCGCCAACCACGCGCCCTCACGCGCGGTCCTTGATGGAGTTTTCGTTCGTTTTCTGAGACACATTGTCAATCGCCGATGTCAAGGTCAAAAATTAGGCAAATTTGTTCAAATTCTTTCAAAGACAAACCCTAAGGTCAAATATTTTATAAACTCCACTATAAAGGTCCGAAAATCGTAGATAATTCAATCAACCTCGTGTCAACGGTCATCTTACAACAATCAACAATCAACCACTGAAGCCTCCCCTAACTCACCAACATTGTGTGACCATCAATTTGCTAAAATTCTAAATGATGAGCTCAGGGATACCGTCATGTGTGGTACGTGTTCAGATTGCTCCACGCACATGGTGGATATGACAAGGTGTGAGCAATCAAACCTTGCACATTCTGAGGGGGAGTTTCAGTTTTCTCCTCCTGGCACCTTACACCGACAAAGCAAGGAATCTCTCAAAGGATGCAACATTTTAGGGGGAGTGTTCAATGTTCTACTCCCTGGTGCCTAACAAAGTCAAAGCATACTGAGTGCTCCAGTTGAGGGGGAGTACAGAGAGAAAATCAATGAGAGAACATGTCCCTATGGCTTAGTAAACCCAACTAAGCCTACCCAAGGGACAAAGCCGAGAGTAAGTGAGTGAGTGAGTGAGTGATCATTATGAGCGTTAGGAAGCAGAAGGCTCGAGTGAGCAAGAAAACAATAATCAATGATGAGTCTGCTGCCTCAAATGTCCGCTATGAATTGAACATTTACTCCTAATCACTCAAATACTCTGGACAATTCCTAAATAGGTTCAAGACTGATTTAATCAGATCCCGGGTAGAAGTCACTGCATCTTGCCCAACAATGCATGTTGAACCCTACCCAAGACCACTCACTTGTCTCCCAATAGACGGGTGTTTAATTATATTTCACGGGGAACCACATCTCTCATCACTGTCTCCTTCCGAGGCAAGTGATACTGACTACAGTGGCCTTAGCCCCATGCCACTGAACTTTCATTCTCTACAGACGGGTGTTTTAAAAAAATTGTTTATTTATAGAAATGCCACCGTCATTTTGGCCGAATTTGGCCAAAATCAAAATGGCCAAACCGTGCAACGCAATCAAAAAAAAGTGCAAGCGAAACATGAAAAAGTGTAAACATTGCACTTTGCACGGGAAGATCACTTTTCATTTGAACTCTTCTATAGTAAAAATTGTGTTAGGTGAGAAATAAGTGATACTGAATATATATTCTGTAAGTTCGAGTTATTTACAGAATATTTCACTTTAAAGTTTGAAGTACTATTACCTCCATCCCAATGGACTTTGCATTCCTTAAGTTAGGTGAGAAATAAGAATAGTAAAAATTGTGTGCTTAAAGTTTATGCAGAAAAAAGAGAAATGAGTAAAACCATAAAATAATTACTTTAATTAATGGAAAAGTGAAAAAGTTTTTTTTGAACAAAACCAGAAAATACTTAATACTCCGCATTACAAAGTCCAGAGGAACATCTGCTAGACTGCTACTGCTGTAGCGGACTCGCCCCTTCAGTGTTCCCCTATCCTCACAAAATCCTAAAGCAGCCATTTCCAAATCTTCTCGGAGTTCCCCCCACCAACAATGGCGACTATCTCATCTTCTCTTCTTTCCCTCTATTTTCTTCAGAACCCCAGAATGCACAATCAAGCCCACACTTCAAAAATCACCTCTCCAACCCTGAAATCTGACGCCCTTGGCCTCGCGCTCATTCCGTCTCCACCTGCTCGGCAGTACAGGGACTGTTTACTGCGCAGGAGGCTCAACGCCGTTGCCGAAGAAACATCAGCCTCATCCGCGCAGGACCCGTCCTCGGAACCCGCCAGGCGGCTCTACGTGGGCAACATCCCCCGGACTGTCACCAACGATGAACTCCGGAGCTTTGTGGAAGAATATGGCGCTGTAGAAAAGGCGGAGGTATATTCATCCAAATGGATTATGGTCTTATCATCAAATCTGCGGTTTAGTTTCCTGAAGTACAACCCATAGCACATAGCCATAGTTTTAAATGAGACAAATATTAGGATTTCATTACTTTCTAATACAAATCAGGCGTAACTATTGAAACTCAACTTCATATTTGTGTAATCATGGATTACATGGTAAGTAAAATAGAACACTTTAGCAATGAAATCCGAAATTCAGTTTAATTGGACACTGAATGGGGTTTCATAGTGTATATGTCTGTAGATGAATTACGAGTGACAGTTCCATTTTTGTACCAAGTTCAGGCTCCATTCGATAGTCATACACTCATAATCAGTTTGTTCTCTTTATAGGCAGAATAACTAGCTTCTGACTCACTTTGTTGGTAGAAATGGATGTTACTAATTACTACGTACTAGATACCTTTTCTCTGAGACAATTGAGCAGATTCACACCTGATCTTACTAAATAGGGCTTAAATTCCAATTTGCAATAAGCCTTGCATATTGACCTTCTTGAATTGGTAGGTAATGTATGATAAGTATTCAGGAAGGAGCCGCCGGTTTGGATTTGTTACAATGAAGACGACAGAGGAGGCAAATGCTGCAATTGAGAAACTTAATGGAACTGTAAGGTTTATGCATGTATCTTTGAGCTAAATCTGCAACGTTCTTAATTGGATCCTAAAATATCTTTTAATTATTTATTTTTTCTTATATAGGAAGTTGGCGGGCGTAAAATAAAAGTGAATATAACCGAAAACCCATTGCAGAGTGGGGATTCATCACTCCAACATGCAGAGGATTCACAGTTCATTGACAGTCCACACAAAATTTATGTTGGCAATCTTGCAAAGACAGTAACCACTGAGATACTAACGAAGTATTTCTCTGAGAAAGGGATGAAGGTTGTCAGTGCGAAGGTATGCCGAGCTCCAGGGACTTCAAAATCAAGTGGGTATGGGTTTGTCACATTTTCTGCAGACAACGATGTCGAATCTGCTATATCATCTTTTAATAACACGGTAAGAGTCTTATAATCTTACATGTTATTTAAAATGTGTCTATGAAGTTGAACAGTTTGCAAGTTATTTCAGGTTAATATCTACTGTCAATTTGAATTACTCCAAATAGGGTATGTTTGGATGGTAGAATTGGAATTGGAATTGGAATTGGAATTGAGTTGGTATTGTAATTTAGTTGTTTAGACCATCAAGTGGTAGAATTTGTGTACTGAGGTGAAATTACAAGTCTAATTCCATACCCAGTGTTCGGATTATAAAATTATTGGTATAAAATTGCAGCTACAATTAGTAATGATTAAGTATACTTATAACTTAGATGCTATTATAATTATGGCAACATTATGGCTATTATGTAGTAGTATAGTTAATTAAGTTAGTGCCATTCCGTCTCTTTGTGTTTTAACTCTTTCCAACCATAGTTTTTTGGTATAAATCCTAAAGGTTGAACAATAAGGATATGTTTAGGGTGCCACAATGCTGATATGGAATGACTTGAATTTCTTTTCTGAATTGTTCTCTGAAATATTGTTTTGTAATATTGAAAATGGAGTCAAGGGTACTTGTCTTTGAGGGTGAGTATTCATTCACCTGCTCTTGCTAATGCATGGACTTGAAAAATCATACCGAGTATGTTTAACACTAACATAATCATTTAGTTTCCATTGTTCAGTTGCATTAATATCACACGTGATTTGTTTTCCTGTGATTTATATGCGGAATGATTGGAATGCAGCTGCTTGAAGGGCAGAAGATCCGTGTAAATAAAGCATGAAAAATAAGTGCCTGGCTACTGAAGTGTTTTAAAGGTGATTTCCTCATAGACACCATATATGGTGGCTGTAAAAGTTTGTTTTGTACCTTATGAACTCAACGAGTTTGGTCATTTTGGTGTTGGGTTCTTGTGACTCTTAGTTTAGGGAAAGTACATCCCTTTCTTGTTTGTTAGCATTGCAAAGGAAGGTGTGATGAGGTTATAAGAGAATGCTGTATGGGTGCATATCTATCTTTGCTGTAATGAGCCACCTCTTGGCTTCGACTCTTGATGAATCACAGAAACACAATTTTTTGCAGTGGAGTATATTGTCCTTTTTATTGATTGCCACAATTTATCTTTCATGTAAACTTTGAGCATTAACAAACTTAGTTGAGTATTTGTAAAAGCTCAATAAATTTTTTGCTTCCAAAATTACATCGAGATAAACTCAATATTTTTTTAGGGAAATTTACGCATATATTACCAAAAGTAAGTAGAATTCCCAAACTATGACCTGAGTTGTTTTTATTCGGTCGTACGACCAAAATGATGGGGGCGGGGGCGGCCAGGGATATGCTGTATTAGTAAAGTACGAAAATACCCATCAAGAAATACACGGGCGTTGATGAAACGAGAAATTGAAAAGGAAACATTCAATTAGTAGACTGCGGACACGGGAAGTCAGTTGTACGTTTTACGGAGTAATATTGAGCAGAGTATGCGTTTTTTAGGGGTTGAATTGAAGTCAATGTTTGGCAAATAAGTCTTTGACTGCTCATATGCAAAGTCTGGTTCCTCAAAATACTCTTTGAAAGCATTATATTAATGCATTGAACTGTGGTAGATTATTGCATGTATTATGTGTTACAGTGTGGTTGATTATTGGTATGAAAATGAAGCCATTGATGCGTCATTACAATGGTTGATAACCGATATTTACACCAATGATGTAATGCAATATGATACGGCAACAAATTAATGCACATATTTACCGCATGTTCTATTAAATAATGAACAATACTCCTCTCGTCCCGTTGGAAGGTTCCCATAGCAAAACGCCACGATTATTTAGGCAATAATTAAATAAAGTACTTCGAGTATATTTTGAGAAATAATTTTAATAGGTATATATTTTTATGTAGTTAGTATTGATAACTGTGATGTTATAAATGTATTATTTTTAATATTTAATGATTAATTTGTCACTTACGGTTCTTAATTGTTTCCTAAAATGAAAATGGGAACCTTCTAACGAGACGTCCAAAAAAGGAAAATGGAAACCTCCTAATGGGATGGAGGGAGTATTATTATAGTAATGAAAATTAATTAGTTTTCGTAATGCTAATAGTAATCTTGTTCGGGACCATTAATGGTTGAATGAATACGTAATAGAAATTACTCTAAATAGGAGCAAAAACGTTTTGAAATTCCAAAATAAGAGTATCATGTTTTTTATTCCCTAAATAAGAGTAATCTGCCAAGTTTGGAAAAAAATATCATGTTTTAAAACCTAGTAATGCCAAACTTGGCAGAAATACGTAAGAGAGATGACATTTATAATTATGGTCATCAATGTTGATGCATACAACGATCCGCAAAAATAAGAGACAAAATAATGGTCATCAATTCAAACACACATAATTACAAGAACATATGTATGACTTGTATGTAAAAGGAAGACAAATATGATAAAATATGTGAAGTAAGAAAAAAAATAAACATTAGCAACGCATAGAGGGAATGAGATGTAGGAGTATTAACTAGAGAAATACTTACCATAGCAATCACCGGAAGGGTAGCGAAGGAATAAACAAATTCAGGCGAATGGGGTTCCATTAAGCGCCGGTTGGGATGGTATAGATTAGGAAAAACACATTGAGGTCATATTATGGGAAAAATTAAGAGTTCTAGTCATACTAGGGGTAAATATCTCTTTTTTTTATTGTACATTATGATTGTTAATAGATAATTATGCTCCTTAAAATATAGATTATGCTCAAAATATGATATACTCCGTATATGAATATTGCAAAATTTAAAGTGTATCAAATATCAATTACTACTATTAAATAGTCTCTCTGTCCCATTGGATTTTGCCAACTTTTTCTTTTTGTTGTCCTATAAATAAAATTTTGTCATTTTCTCTTGAAATTCTGAAAGTAACTAGTTTGCGGTTCAGCTCATTTTTCTCTCATCTGCACAAATTTCAATCGCACAATTTTTACTATATTTATTTCTTACCTAATTCAAAAATAGCAAAGCCCATCGGGATGAAGGTAGTAATTCTTATTTTTTACCTAGTTCTATTTACACCATTTTGACTTTGAAGATTATTTTTTTAGTATTATTGTATTTTCAAATTGAAAAAGAAAACTTATCAAAAACAGTTTTTAAAAATTGGAATACTCGTTTTACATTTGGAATGCATGTACCTTAAGTTAATTTATAATGCTTTTTATTAAGTTAATTTATAATGCTTTTTATTACTCATAATAGCACACTATATATATATATATGTATTACAAAGAATGCTCCAAATATCGAGTAACTGAAAATAATAGCTTCAATAAAAAAATAATTCTAAAAGCATTTAAATATGTTCAAACTAAAAAAACTAGTCCAATTGAAAACATCTTTATTACTCTTATTAGTATTATATTAGGACATTCGAATGTGTAGAATGGTTTGGGAGATTTATTCTAATGGTTTGAGACTATTATATTAGTATTATTATATGAAGTTCTAGTTTTAGGGTGTGTTTGGGAGTTGGGGTTTAGAAGGGAGGGGAAGATTGATGGGGGTTTATGGCCCTCCTTTTCTTGTTTGGGAATTTATAAAATTGGAGGGGATGCTTTTGAAGTGCTTTGGTGAATCGTGACCCTTCAAAACCCTCTAAATGCTCAATTTTTGAGTTCCCCCAATTTGGAGGGTTTTGAAGAATAATTAACGAATGGTAATTTAAGCTCAATTAAAAAATAAATATCAGTTCAATTATTCAAATTCTTCATATCTTAAAGTGATTTTAATTAAAATTCATTCAAAAAATCTCTTCTTCTAAATTTATTACTCCCAAATACAAAGAAGGGCTTCCTCACCCTCTCTTCTCTTTCCCCTCCAACAACATACCTCCAAAGTCTTACACTCCCCTCCCTTCCAAACTCCCAAACATACCCTATAATTGAACTAAAATTTCCTATTTGATTTAATTTGATTTGAGCTAATTTGATTTGACCTGATATGATATGTCTCATTTAGACATTGAGAAAATTTTATACACCGTATAAATAATGTATAGAATTTTGACGAATTCTAATCGAACACAGAATTTTATAATTCATAATTGTAGTTTTAAAACTTTAATTTACTGTAGTGTAGAATATGTAGGATGTTTTAGGAAGTTTTTTGAATTACGTCGTATAATTCTACTGTAACTTTAGGAAACTTTTAGGATATTGGAATTATGTAGAATTCCAACATGGTAGCTTTGTCGTAAACTAATGTATTATGAATCCATGAATTCTAATCTAACCTAAATTCCAATGTGAGCAGTATAATAATTATAACTAATATACTAAATTGGAAAGAGAATCTAAAATATATTATAATAAAAGCTTACTTAAATGTATTTTATACTAAGAACGAATAATATATATTAATGGTCAAATTTCAATCGCCAAATGTGAAAAGTTAACCATTACCCTTATTTAAGAATGAAGTATTTGTTTAGAACATACACTTTGAGTGCAACTAGGAAGTTGGAGTTGATGTCTTTGAGTGCAATTGGGAAGTTTTGGATAAGTCTTTTAAGCAAAAAAATTGCATGTAAATTAAAGTTCAGTAAAATAGAAAAAATATGAATTTCTAACGAAAAGTTTGAGTGCAATTTATAAAGTTTATTATAAACATTACTTGGCATTCAGAACGCTCTACATTAATTGTAACTTCTAAGAAATTCTAATTTTGTTGAATAATGTAACATGGAGTCATGCAGTTCTAATTCTCAACAATATATCCTAATTGTTCATTCAAAAAAATACTCCCTCCATCCATTATAACTTTAAAAACTTCCCTTTTTTTGGATGCCCCACTAATTTTACCATTTTCCAGTTTAAGTAAAGAATTTGTGTTTTCAGTTCATTCTCTCTCCTCTGCACAAATCTTAAGCACATAGTTTTTACTTTATTATTTCTTGCGCCGGTCAAACTTGACAAAATTATGAGGGACCAAGAGAGTATATTCTAATTGTAATCTACGGAAGAATTAGTAAGTAGTTCTAAGATATTAGGAGTTCGATCTAATGCCACTACGAAAGAGCTTTTGTAGTAATGATCTACGAAGTTTTTTTTTTAATTCAGAAGGTAAACCACCTAAGTTGGTGGGGCAAATGGTGGGAAACATTTGCCTTATTTTATTAAAAGAATGAGATATAAAATAGAGTGGGGGACGATACCAAAAAAGGTGAGATTATTATTGTGGCTTCTAATTACTTCTAATCTTGATTTTAGGGGTTTTTAATTACTACTAAATTTTAAAACATAATTTTAAAATAGAAAGAGAATCTGGAATATTATGATAAAGGGTTGCTTAGAGCATCTCCATTCATGCTCTCTAAATAAACGATTTTTTTATTACACATCATTGCCACATCACATTTATTCAATAAATTTTAAATAATCTCAAAGTTTAAAACTCTTCATCAACAATAATACTCAAATAATCAGTTTTTTCCGGACATGCATTAAATGTAATTTAACTATAACTAAAATAATTCGGGATTGGAATCTTGATACCGGATTTTCTTTTTCAATAATCTCACTAAATAATCTTTCATTTACAATGATAATCTTTAAAATAATCTTACACATCATCCAATTGATCTTCAAATAAACTCATGGATGAGCACAACACATGGCAAAACTTTCCATAATTGTATCTTTGAAATATATTATTTATAGTTTTATATAGAAATAGATACCACTGAAAGGTGAGATTATTAGGGCCTGTTTACTAACAGATATATTTTCCAGTTTTCCAGAAAACTGGAAAACTAGAAAACAGAAAACAGAAAACGTGTTTACCAAAGAAAATTGCTGGAGAAAAGAAAACAGAAAAACGCGTTTACCAAACCGTTTTCCAAAACGAAAAAAATGAGACATTTCTCTCTTTTCTTTAATGATTTGGAGAAGTGCTTTTATTAGTTTTCCAAATTTGGAAAACGCAGATGCTAGAAGCCGTTGCAATGAATTTGCATACTTATACCTAATGGTGGGTCCGGTCCCACTCCGATGTCGATTCCATTCTAGTACATCCATCCTCATACCTTACCCCTTAGCCCTACCCACCCTATCCAC